ATCTCTGAAGCCTATAAACATTAGCAGTCTTATGAATCAATGTTACCTCAAGGAAAAAATAATTACAAAACATAATATAAAGACTTACAACTCTGGAGGAGGTGAGACTGATGATGAACCATAACTCCTACCTTTACTAGCAGTATTATTTTAGACAAGTTATTGTTAACTCTGTGCCTCTGGTGTCCTGGTATGGAAAATGATGGTGGTGTGCATGGTATGTAAATGTGGGGATGCTTATAAGAAAACAGTGAGCTGCAAGTTCTGGTCTGAGTTAAGATGTCATTGCTGGGGATCTCTAAATTATATCAGAATGTATAGAGTGAGATCCCCTCTCTGTGTCCCCCTTTAATCCTGCCACTAAGATTCCTTATAATTAATATATATTGTAATATATTGGGGTTACCTGTAAAAGACCCCTCCAACCTCCACCACATATCTTTTCCACCAGACACTGAGAAGTTGCTGTGTTTCTGAGATCAATTTCCCTCAGTTCCCATCTGTGACCCAGAAAGGAGGCAGATATGGTTAGTCCAGTTATCTAAAAGGAGAGGGATAACACTAACATGTGGAAGTAGAGATTCTCTGGAGATATGAAAAACTAGGAAAAATATACTTTAGCATTACATGTTCTTTTTATCCCAACATCATCATTACATATCATTATCATGTTATTTTCTGGCTAATCTCTCAGACATTTATGAATTCATTCTTGTTGTCTGTGGCTAGGTCAGGTGAAACTCCTGGAACTGTATCACATAATGTGATTGAACAATAAATCAGCACCATCTTCCTCTAAAGGACAACATTTGGTTCCTCCACCTCCCCATTCTTCCTTCTGTATACAAATAATACATTCTAGTGGAGCAATAATATCTCTTGTTTCTTGAAAATCTGTGATGAACCAGCTCTGTGCTGGTCCGTACATAGAGGGCAAGCCTGGAAAAAGCAGGTCTTACCATCCTCAATTTACAAATCAATTTTCTCATATGCCACCTGCAAGAAAAAAATATCTACATCACAGAATGCCATGAATATGTGAATTCTAAGGCATCTAAGAGGCATAGGCTTTTCACTTTGCAGTGGCTAGCTACATGAGCCTGGCAAGTTTTTTAATTTTCCATTCTGTTGCCTCATCATTTATGTGTGATCATAAATATGTGATCATGTTAAGAACTCTCATGAGACTGCTGTAAGGATTAAATGAACTCATCGAAAAAATAAATGAGCTCATCAAAATTACAAATATATATTTTAATAAATCAATAAAAAGAAATAACTGGGTGCCTGACACACAGGAAGCTTGTGATAAATCACAGTTGTGATATTGATTTGGGTCTGTATTACTATTATTAATAGATCAAGAAGAAAAAGAAAAAATGGACAAAAGAGACTGAGAAATGGGCTCCAAAAAGGTCAGGATAACCCAGAAGCCCGAGAGACGGCTGTCATGGAAACCAAAGGCTACACTGCCAGGAAAGAGGAAAATTGAAACAGTATTCAGAGACCGGCTTTTGACAAGCAGTGATTTTCATCTCAGCGACAGATAAGAATTAAAGCAAAAAGAAAGCAAGATCCTTTTTTAAAAAGGACACTCCCGTTTGTCTTATTGGAGTGCCCAGATAACAAATCCACGACTTCTAATTAAGAAAATATTATTAGGAAAAAAATCTAGTTATTTGACTAAACAAAACGCCATCACATTCAATAATTTTAAAAAAAAGCAGAAATGCCAGGTGACAATAAGAATGCAGACAGTCTCAAAATTAACACAATATCCCAAAAGCTGGGAGAGGACATTACAGAATAAGTTTTTTTTTTAAAAAAAAGGACTATAATTAACTCCCAAATTTAGGCTGGTGAAAGGGAGGATAGTGGAATGGTCAGAATTGAATTTTCATTTTTCGTTTCCTTTCTAGTCTATCCAGTTTCAGAAAGAAATTATGGAAACAGCAACTGTCTTTGGCAAATATTCAACATGTGGTTAGAGAGTGGAATTCAGAAAAGATGAGCAGAAAGTGAAATGCTATTCCAGTCTGAACTAGATGAGGGAAGTTGATACCTCTCAAGGGCTGATTTAGTTAGAGGTAGATAGTAATCAATGGGTAAATCTTATGGGACCTGGGGTGTGTTGGGAGTCCTTATGATATGGCAGGGTGGGGGGGAGCTGAGCATATATGCCTATTACAGAAGGTGAAAGGCTCCCTTTTGGCTCTAGACAGATTAATGTGACTCCCTGTCTGCCAAAAGGTGAATGTAACTTTGAAGAGAATGAGGACAAGCTTAGATTGCTGGTGTCCTGGACGAAGAATGAGCAAGAACGTAGGGAGGAACCCAGGGACTGTTTCTGAAAATGAACAGTCCCTAGGATCCTCCCTACCTGGGTTCCTCCCTCCCTCCTACTTCAAGGCTGGTTTTCAAGTGTGATAGTGGCAGCCCAAGGCAGGAGGCTGTGCTGGCTTCTGCTAGTGCTAGGCTACTACCTGTGGGCGCCAGCTTGCAACCTCATGTTCTGGCTGAGTAGTCTATCAATGATTAGTGAAATTAGAATCGTAGTATCTCTAAATCTGTACTATCCATGGTACAAGAGAGCAGAGTGTTCTATATGATTTTGGGAATTTGAATTTGGGGGTTTCATGAGGCTGCTCCAAACAGTGCTGGGGGACAAAATGACTATAACCAGAAGAAATCTGGAGGGCATGCAATACGGCATATCAAACTCAGGGCCCTGTGCATACCATGCAAATGTTCTAGACCTATGACCCATCTCTCACCAGCACAATATGAAAGCATATATCTCTGATTCCTACTAGGTTTCTAGTCCCTTTCAATTTCCGTGTTTGCCTGCTTAGTCATGCACATTAACCCTCTTTTACCTCCCCCACATAGCTCAATTTTTTCTCCTGGACCTCTCTCTCCCACTGATGCATACTTTGTGCTCAAGAATGTACCCCTCCCCAATTTCTATAGAACTAATCAATCCTCTTGGGTTCTCAGGTCTGTGCATCCATTTGGTTCTCTACTCCTGGTTTTTGATGCAGTTTGGTCCTGCTCATAGAAATAGAGACTTACATACCTATTAGAAATGTACTAACCCTCTGTAATGGGAGTCTTTCTGCTAAATAGAGTGTAGGGCACCCTGACCTGCCTGTTCTTTCCAGTACCTTGGTAATTAGATTGCATTTCATCCTTCCCCAGCTGCTCTCCACTTATGACGTGGGTTGGGAGGAGTTTAGAGAGTCCTCTAACACAGGGCTTCTTAAATTTTTCCCACTCACTTCTGTTTGCAAATATTAATTTACTGGAACTCAGACATTTCCTTTCAAACAAAGGTTTCATGACCTCCCCCTCCCTACTTAGTGGCAGGACCCACAGTTTAAGAAGTTAGGGTCTTGTCTGCATTTTCAGTGTCTCCTGGAGGAAGGAGATGCAGGGGGTCTGGTCTCTGGGTGCAAGGTTCCATGGAATACCTGTTCTGTCCCTTTTTTCTTTTCTTTTCTTTTCTTTTCTTTTCTTTTCTTTTCTTTTCTCTTCTTTCTTTTCTTTTCTTTTCTTTTCTTTTCTTTCTCTCCATTTTTCTTTCTCTTTCTTTCTTTCTTTCTTTCTTTCTTTCTTTCTTTCTTTCTTTCATTTTCTGGCCATATCTGGATATGCTCAGGGCTTACTCCTGACTCTGGCTTAGAGATCACACCTGGTGAGGCCATATGGGGCCTCTGTGGGACCACATGGGGCAGGGTACCATATAGGGCAGGGTTTGCCATATACAGGACCAGTGCTTATCTGCTGGCACATTATCTCCTTTTCTTAATATAGTGGTAAAACAGATCTCACCTACCACCCAGCAAAGATAACTTGTTGCCACCAGTGTACTGCCAGAAATGGTGGCAGCAGCAATATAAAGAAGCCATCACCAAAAGGGAAAAGTGCCCCCTCCCACAAAGTGACCAGGAATGGAGCACCGGGACTTTCCTTTTGTGCCTTTTACCTGAGAACCAGACTTCCTATTCTTCAGATAGCTATTGACACATTAAAGATGAAAGCACTGGAGTACTTTCAATTGGTGAGGGACAGAACTGGGCTCTATGGCCTAAGGAAAAGGTATGATATAAAGGGCTTGTCTGGTGCTGGAGTGATAGCACAGCAGGAAGGGTTTTTGCCTTGCATGGCCAACCTGGGTTCCATTCCCAGCATCCCAAATGGTCCCCCAAGCACCACCAGGAGTAATTCCTGAGTGCATGAGCTAGGAGTAATCCCTGTGCATCACTGGGTGTGACCAAAAAAGCATATATATATATATATATATATATATATATATATATTCTGTCCATTTGCATGTGGGGAGTATTTTCCGGCTCTCCCTCCCTTTATTCCATATACAGAGTGGGGTTAATTAAAAGAACCCACAATGAGATGGCAATATAATAATTTGTGGGGGACAGAAGGCCCCAAGCAGTGCTGTGGGGAGCAGGGACGACTCACAGCAATACTCAGCCAAATACACCAGAGGATCAATGCTTGGGACACAACATGCAGTGGTCCTTGGGCCCAGTGGTGGCAGGGAAAATCAGAGACACCTCAGTTGTGCTGGGGTTGAGGTCATCTAAGACTGTACCTGTAGTGCTAGAGGGACACCAGGATTATATCCAGCAGTCCTCCGGGGTCCATGTGGTGCCAAGGATCAAATGAAGTCCCCACATATACTTTGTTATCTCCCCAGTCATCCTCCTTTAAAGATTTTTATTCTATTTCTCTTATTATTTCATTTATCTGATATTAACACCACAGAAACATTAAAATAGTTATGACTTTATCTTTATTCACATAGAAATAAGCTTACAACATAAATAGTTTGGTGAAAAAATACAGACTATATAGCAGCACTTATATTTGATTAGTTGTATCTTGACAAAGATCTATCTGGATACACAAATAGAAGGAAATATCTAGATAAACATCCATCAAAGGGCTGACAAAAGTTATACATAGGTAGAGTGCATTCACCTGCACTGTTTGTACTCTTTATTATTGATGACTTAACAATGAATGAAACCACCTTCGCAAAGAGAATAAAGTTTTCAAAGAAACAGGCACACACAGAAAACAGATACTTGGGCAACAGGGGTGGGTGCAGCAGTGAGGGAGCAAGAACAGAGGTCACTGGGCTGGTGCTGAGACGTTTTCTCTGACACCGCCAAACCAAGCCCCTTTGTAGATTAATTCATGCAATCAGAAGCCTCCCTCCCCCAGTTTTCCCATGGCTGGACAGAGCATAAGCTCGTGCGCATCTAAAGTAGAGGGTTAAGGATCTCATATAGCTCATAGGGGTCATTCAGATACCCAGGGACTTCTCTGGCCCCTTCTTCCTCCATATGTGTTAAATCCTGCAGAGTGATGATCAAATTCTCAAGTGTGTGGGTCCTGTCAAGTTCACAGTTCTCCTTAGAGTGACCCTCCTCACCACAATAAGTACAGCGGAGGGTGTATTTGCGTTTTTTAGCTCGGCGCATCTCCCCAGTACTATTATTAATCTGAGAAACCCCACTCGTGGAAGGAGACTGAGGTGGGGAACTGTTAGGAGAATCAATGATAAGCACTTCATCTTGGGGTCTGGGCCTGCGTCTGGGGGGAAGAGAACCTGAGAATAAAAGCGGGGAATCCTGAGGCTCCACCAGTATCACATCCTCATCTGAGTCCTCATCAAGGCTGTCATCTATCTCTATAACTTCACAGTCAGCATTGCTGATCACCATTGGGGAAGAGGCTTCAGTTGCCTCTGGGCTGGCTGCCCTCCCCACCGTTGACTCATCTCTTCTGGCACGCTTGCTTTTCATAAAAGTATCATCCAAGTCCTCTTCCTCTTTGATCATTCTGATTAATTCCAGGAAATCAGGAATGCCCTCCTGCTCATTCTCATGCATCCTGAGAAAATGCTTCAGCCGGAAGCGCATGTCCCTACTCAAATCAGCCCCTAAAAGTAGCTGCTGCAGGCGAATTTGGTTTGCATCTTTCTCAGCTATAATCCCTGCCTGAATTGCGTTCTGGAGCTGCACCTCTAACCGTATCACGTACAGGGAGGTCTTCTCCCCTTGAGCCTGCAGGGTGTTGAAAAACCTCCCATGAGTAGTCACACTGCTTTCAGACTCCCCAAACACCAATTTCATCCCTCGCAAGAAATCAGCCACACTGAGGTTAGGGTTCGAGGCCTGGAGCAAACGCATGACCTCCCGGGCTGGGCCTCGAAGGGTTTTCATCAAACGCTTGAGTTTTTCTTCCTCAGACATATTCCAATCTGGCAGAACCCCAATGACTTGGGTCAGCCAGTTTTCAAAGGTTTCCTCCCCCTGAGCTGGCACCACCTGCCCAGAAAACAGCTTCATGTTTCTCTCTGCCATGTTCGCTATCAAAGGACGAAGACTAGACCTCAGGGACCTCAGCATGGAATAGGCCCAAGGTGGCAAGGAGGAATTCTGCCTACGGCTACTCGCCATACGGGCCAGGATGCTAGCCATGATCAGTGCCAATTGGGGGTTGGAGGCTCCAAGGATCACAAGCAGCTAAGGCTTTTCAGGAAAGTCTAATCTGCTGGCACGCTCGCAGACTCCGTCTTCCTCTGATATCAATGGGGAGACTGAAAAGAAAAAGCGAGAATAGAGAGAGGAGGAGTTAATAAAGAGCAGGCTGTCACAGTGTCCCTTCCCTTCCGGAATCCTCTGCAGGCCATTCATATTTGCCCACACCCCTAAAATTACCCTCCAAAAGACAATGATTTCCACTTCCCAGAACTAGCACTAGCTCGGTGTCAGCAAGGTGCATTTTGCAGCCACATGCACCTCCTGCCAGTCGTTCAAGAGGGATCGCAACTGTTGCTTCTAATTCTAAGTGTCATCATGTTGGAAGCAAATAGTGGGCTCTTAAAATAGAGCACAGTAGTCACAGGTTGGTGGGTAAAAGTCAGATATCACTATCTGCATGGTGTCAGAGCTTACTCTATCCCCTTTACAAAGTGTACTCAACCTCCCATCCCACCCCCTTATTTCTCAGATTCTTACAGGAGCTCAGGAAGAAGTGCACACCTTAATTTTATTTCCAGCTCTGCAACGGGTGGCTTCAGACAAAGCTTGCCTCTGGAATGTATTCAATCTCTGTCCACCCTGGGGATTGGGTCGCTGAACCGTGGACCTAAGGGCACCAAGACTGGGCTGTCACCAAGGAGATGGGGGAAAGCAGGATAGAGCAGAGAATGGTCAAAACAGCTTCATCCCTCATGCCTCTCCCCCCCACTTCCTCCACCTCACTCCACATCCCCACCCCCTCAACCCAAACCGCTCCTGTCCTTCCTTCCCACTGCCTCCAAGATACCTAGGAGGAAAATTTCCTCTCCCACCTTCAGAATTCAAGCCAATGTGACCCCCCCATCATTGCATTCCCCCACCCCACCCCCGGGAAATTGCTGGCCTACCACCTCTGCAATCAGTCGCACAGAATTCAGTTTCAGATTTGGTTTCAGTGGCCTGTTACCGGGAAAGAGAACAGGAGTAGTACAAGCACACCCCCCTTATTCCTCCCCTGGGAAGCTATAAAGAGCGGTAAAGGAGATTTAAGGCTTAATTTCCCTCTCCTCCGTGGTTCCTTGCCCACCGCCCACCCCGGAAGTACCCCCCTCTGGATGCCAGCAAACGCTACCGTTCCGCTGCATCACTCGGATTCTACCTTCTCCCTTTGTGCGGCCCACTCGACCACAGGAGTATTCGTTCCCCGACCTCGCGGTTCTCTACTGCCCAAGCAGGGAGCCGCCCCGTATTGATGGGGCTTCACGCCTGTCTCTCATAGCCAGCCGATCGTGCCCCCTTCCTTTACCTGCGATTTGATGCTGGGCAGCGGGCTTTCCAGCAGTGACAGCAATGGATGTCGCCCTCCAGCTTTCGGCGATCCTGCAAAGGGGAAAGGGATGGCGTCTCCTCGGCCGCTGAGCGACCCGGAGACGCCAGGCAGAGCTGCTCCGCACGGCCGCCCAGCAAGGGGTAGCCGAGTCGGGGCAGCGCGGTTCCCACGGCCTCCTCGGCTGCTTTTATCCTCTGCCCACTGAGACAAAAGAGCGTGACGAACGCCGACCCAGCCAATGAGCAAGGCGCGTGGGCGGGCCCCTGGCTCATTCTCTAGCCGGATGCAAATACATAGGGGGCTGAGAGAGGAGGGAGGAGGCAGGTGAGCAGCAGGTCTTAGGGTTACAGCTTGTAAGTCTGCCCCTCCTCCTGTCTCCCTTTTTCTCTTCCTGGGTTTAGGGCTGCACCTGCATTAAAAACGAGGTGGTATAGGAATCAAATCAACAAGGGATATTAATGCTTGCCGTGTGCAAATAGATTTGTGCTACACAGGTCTCTTACTGGAAAGGTATGTCCCTTTTACAGTGAGGAGAATTAGACAACCAGGCTCTTAACCATCATACTCACTGAAAATAGGCGCAAGGCTAGTTGTATCAGAATAATTTAGGGGAAGTAGTTGAAATGAAGATTTCAGGTGGGAGAGAAAGCTGAACAGAGCTGGAACACTGCTTTACATTGGGGGAAGGTGGGTTCCATCTCACAAACCACATGGACCCAGGTCCCCACTAAGCAAACATTAGGGAGGAGTAACCCCAGAGCACGACTGAATGTTGTTCCCCCTCAAAAGAAGGAAGAAAATGCAAATCCCTGTGTCTTTGAGGTTTGGGTTTTCTAGGACTGAGTGGTCTTATTTTTATTAAATTATATTTTATTTTCTTTTATTTGCAGTAATGAGGCTAGAAGCCAGGGTCTTGCATATATATGCAACTCAAATGCTCTACCGCTGAGCCAGAGTCCCAGATCTTTGCTCTGTCTTGTGTATGTTTAACTAGTGTTGTAGTTGATCCTGAAGTGTAAAAAGGATAATGACCAAATCAATGACCTGGCCTCTGATGTGCCTGTGCACTGGAAATCTGTGGAAAACTACAACCCAAGGGCAGATAATCCTCTGAATCCAGAGTTAAATACAAATATACATATAGGAGATAGCTAACTCAAAGAGCTGGAGTAGATACTTTGCATGCAGAAGACCTATGTTTCATCCAGAGCTTTGCGTCAGTTTCGCTCAGACCAAATCAGGAGCAACCCAAGCATTGAAGTGAGAGTAGCCCCCAAACATTGAAAGATGTGTCCTCAAAACTAGAAAAAAATACAAAAATACATTTTATGTTGGAGACTATATTACAGCCACCCAGATATCTCAAGTTCTAGACTCTAGAACCTATAATTACTGTCTTATATAAAATTAGAGTTTCTGCTTATGCCATTAAAGTCTTTGAGGTGAGTTTATCTTAGATTATCCAGGTTGGCACTAAATGCAATCGCAAGTGTCATTATGGGAGGAAGAGGGATAGAGGGAGGGAACATATGCATATATTGTGTTTCTTTTTCCCCTCATGCAAAGTGAAGCTAAGAGGTATCCATAGAGGTGTTTTTTTTTTTGGGTGGAAAGACAGTCAGAGTAGTAGTGACATGGACTGCACACGTGGATAATCCAAGTGTGGATTTAGTGCGATTACTTGCACTTGGGTGCTGATGCTTGAAAGCAAGAAAACTATCTGATGCTCTGGCATAACTGATGAGTTTGTCTTTGGGAGAACAAGGTAGAAGAAATGAGAGTATCATAGTTGATCTGGACCGGAGAGATAGCACAGCAGTAGGGCATTTGCCTTGCACGCGACCGACCCGGCAGAACCGGGTTCCATTCCTCCGCCCTTCTCAGAGAGCCCTTCTCAGAGAGCCCAGCAAGCTCACTGAAAAGCCTAGCAAGTTACCCGTGATGTATTCAGTTTGCCAAACACAGTAAGAAAAAATCTCACAATGGAGATGTTACTGGGCCTGCTCGAGCAAATTGATGAACAACAGGAGGACAGTGACAGTGACAGTTGATCTAAAAACTTCAACAAAATCTTTGAACAACAGATTAACAGCAGCTGAGCAAAAAGATCAAGAAACTCCAAGATGTGATGAAGGAAACCTTTCGAAAATAACATAAGGTAGAAGACAATCTGAAAAGAGAGGAAAAGCATATTTAAGAACTATGGAATGAGCTAAAAGGCAACAATAAAAGAGTAATTGGAGTTCCTGAAGAACGGGAAGGCAAATTTGATGAAGAAACAATATTTAAAGAAATCATGGAGAGTAATTTTGTAGACTTGGAAATTAAAGGCACCAGGATCCTAGAAGGCTTAAGGTTCCCAGTGAAAATGAACCCACTAAGAAAACTCCAAATCACATTGTATTCAAAATCTTAAAATTCCAGATAAATACAGAATATTCAAAGCATTAAGATCAATAAAACAACTTGCTAGGCAAGAAAAAGATATCAAGGACATATATATAGGAAAGGAAAAGGTCAATCTATCACTATTTGCGGATGATATGATACAATGAAAATCCTAAAGATTCTATAGAAAAGTTCCTAGAAACAATAGGTCTGTATAGTAAAGAGGCAGGCTACAAAATCAAGACCCAAAAGTCCATGGATTTCCTATCACTATCACTATCACTATCACTGTCTTATTAGTCTTTTCAATATTCCTCTTCTTATAATAAAATATTTTGTACTCTTATAGACCAATTTCCCCTTTAAATTTTCTTAATTCTCTTCACTCTTACTAAATTTTACACTTGTAGTCTTTACCTATTTTACATAAATTCTCAAATATATTAGCAAAAAATCCAAAGTAAATAAATATGCTGTTAAAAACTTGGAGGTGAGTAGTAAACATTTTCAATGGAAATAACTACCTTTGTGAACCTTCCTCCTCAGGGCCAGGAATTGCCTTATATCATTTAAGCATTTCCAGGATTGTGTTCAGGTTGAGATTTTTTTCCACATGAAGGTGTTGAGAGTGTGAAGGCACTTCATATCAGTGATTTCAGTTCATCAAAAATTAAAACACAATTTGAGTGTAGACTTCAGAGCATTAGTACAAGGAACACTGTACCTGTAGGCATTGTGGTACAGAACTCGAGAAAGTCCCGCATGGACCAAGTATAGCATACACAAGAACGAGTGTGACTATAATGTTTTAGACTGAAACATAAATTTTACAGATTTCCATCAGACAGTGTCATGGTGTGTGCGCACATCATACACATTTCTAGAACTTGAACAGGAATCAAAAGGTGTAGTGAAATCATTGTCCAAGAAAGGCAGACTTGGAAAAGAGATTTCGGAGCTAAGGACTGCTGAAAGATATCTGGGTCTTCATTCAAGAGGCAGAAGTAGATGTTTGCTAATAAGGCAAACCAGAGGGAGGCATGGTTTTCCAAGCAAAAACTAGTGTGGGGACCTTCTCCGCATGGAAAGAAAGTTTCTAAGTAAGGTCCCAGCAGCACCCCAATGCTTGACGGAGGGAGGAGAATTTTCCTGCCTCTTTGCTAACAAGAAAACCAGCAGTGGTCCAAACTGAACTCCACTGAACTCTGCCAACGCTTGGCTCCTCCCAAAAGTCAGTCCAGTAGTTGGGGGAGTTTGCTGAGTAGACAGCTGAGTTAATATCACCAGTTAATATCCCTCCATATTCCATAAGATCCACATACTGGCTTATACTGAAATCTCACCACAGTAGGCTGGCTATCCCAACTGCATTAGGCTAATAGTCCATTAGTCCCTACTCCAAACAACATTCCTCCAAAATGCACAAAAGTAACAATGGGCACAAGAAACAACACAACCCTAATCAAAAGTAGAACAGCAAGTTCAGTTGAAAGATAACCTTCCTTGAATCAGCACAAGAAGCTCCACACAATTACACAGGAGCACCAAATTGGAAGGAAATTATCTTTGATTGGGGAAAGAAGAGACCAAAATCCACTGCGCTCCCACCGAATCCTCTCTAGCAGTGGGGGAAGGGGGGACTTTGAAGCGTGCTGGAAAGAACCTACTCCAGACTACCACAGGAATGATGGAGAAACATAACAGAATCCCCCATGAATAGTGAATGAAGCTAAGAGCCCAGAAGTCTCGACAAGAAAGACCCACATACATAATGTGATAAAGAATTCAGAGATGAAATGGCAAGGATGTTTAATGACCTCAAAGAAACAATGGAATGGATATCCAAGAAAATATAGAAGCGTATGACAGAAAGAGTGGAGCGAAGAGCCAATAAAATATAAGAGGAGATGAGATCAGGAATAAGAAAACT